CCCTCCCCCCACCCTATCTCTTTCTCTCTCAAAAAAAAAGAGAGGGGGCGATTCAAGGATAACTTCACAGTGTTTGTCTTGAGCAGTGGGAGGATGGACTTGTCATTTGCTGAGATGCAAAAGACCAAGGGATAAGTACATTTTAGGGGAGAAAAGCTTTGGGTTTGGTTATGTTGAGTTTAAGATGTTTATTAGATATCCAAGTGAAAATGGAGAGGAGGAAGTTGGGATACATGATATATGAATCAAGAGTTCAGGAGAGGGTGATGGGAACATAAGGGTCCTATCTCAACTTGAAGAATGGAAAAAGAAGGGGGCAGGCGTTTGGCAGGGGCCAGCATGTGGATGCTTTTCTGCATTTTTACATGTTCTTGAGTACTGTTATGTAGTTTTCCTCTCATCTCCTTTTGGTGGAAGTCTCTTATATAACAGGGACTAACATTTACTGCACATTTATTATGTGCCAAACACTTTGACATATAGCATCCCATTTAAGCACAGCTATATCACAAAACACATGTTGTCATCTCCATGTTACAGATGAGAAAACTGAGGCTCTGCAATACAGGCAAAAATAATCTGTCCTAAGTCACACAGCTGGTAAGTGAATATACTGAGATTTAAACCAGGATCCAAGTCCTAAGCCCATGTCCCCCCCAGCTATGTATCTGCTTATCACCAGGTGGGTCAGAAAGTCAACTCTGTGATTTCTATGTCAATGATTTGTTCTGTAGATTTTTTAAAAAAGATTTTATTTATTTATTTGAGAGACATGGCGAGAGAGGGAACACAAGCAGGAGGAGTGGGAGAGGGAGAAGCAGTCTTCCCGTGGAGCAGGGAGCCTGACACTGGACTGGATCCCAGGACTCCGGGATCATGACCAGAGCCAAAGGCAGATGGAAGGCAGACGCTTAACTGACTGAGCCACCCAGGTGCCCCTCTGTGGATTAACCAGAGCAAAGAGGTATTTAAAACCAGCCCTTGGCCAACTCCTTTTCATATTCCGCCAGAGGTTGTCAACTTGTTTTGAATGTTTATTAGTCAGGCATTGACAGCTATATTATTTTACTATTAGGCCCAGACAAAACAAAATTAGGAAGGTAAACTTGATGGGACAAAAAGCCAGTGAAGTACTGCAAACCAATTATAGTTGAATTCATGGATTATTTACTTTTCTAGGTTATCCACAACTCTGACAGTAGTACAAAAAAGAGGATAATTACATAATTGTCATTTGGTTCAATTTCCTTTATATCTTTCCATAATGTGTTACACAGTAGGTGCTTCATAAGTGGTACTGGCAGGCATCCCTTGGCCCACTTCCTTTTTTTGGAATTCTAGGCAATCTAGGTTACCATAGCAGACATCATGCCCCATTAATTTGACAAACAATACTGGTGCCTACTATGTGGTGGGTGCTATGCTAGTTATTGGGACTACCAAAGTGGAAAGGCTGTGGTTCTTACCATCAGGGAGCTCATACTTTAGTGATGAGAAAGCATATGAAAAAAGAAAAATACAATGTGGTTAGTGATATCATTAACATGCTCAGAGTACCATGAAAGTATAAAGGACAATCTGTTTAGAGTGAGTTGTGGGTCTGTACCAGAGGGAATATGTGATTCGATTCTTGAGGAAGTTATCAGATGTCCAAGGTGGGAGCATTCCAGGCAAAGAAACCAGTTTGTGCAAAGACACCGATGTGTGAGAATTGTCAGTGAATTTAATTTTGTGGGAGTATGGGTTCCTTGTAGGATAGTGGGAGATGAAGTTGGAAAGGCAGATTATGGGTCATGATAAGGAGCTGATATTTTGTCTCCTAGAATACATGGGGCCAGACAGGTAAGGTAAATGAGTGATAAGGGCAGTAATGGAGACTAGAGGAAGGACGTAGGGATGACTGTGTGGAACTTGATTGTTCTAAGGGGTTAGTTATAGCTGACTGTAGCCATATGTGAATATGGATCCAGTGTTAGCAGGTTTTCTGATTTTTTTTTTTTTTTTTAGGGAGAGAAGCAGGAAATCTGATTTTTTTTATGTGAAATGTCCTGATTTCTAAATGCTGGCAATTAATTTTTTTAACTCAAAGTTTCAGCCAACACTGCACCAAATACAACACATCTGTTTGCGGGATGTAGCCTGTAGGCTGTCATTTTGAGACCCATGCTGTAGAGGATGGGGTATTTATGGAAGCATAGAAGCTATCTGAAGTAACACTTCAAAACACTTTTATTTTTTTATTTCAAAATTATTCTTATTCTCTACTTTCATAGTTATTTGTAAATCATCAATATCAACAGTTAACATGCTTTCTAAAAGTGTTAATGATGAATTTTCAAATCTCAACTGGATCTACATTTTATTTAAAAAAATTTTTTTTATTATGTTATGTTGAGAGAGAGAGAGAGAGCATGAGCAGGTGAGGGGCAGAGAGAGAAGCAGACTCCCTGCACAGAGAGTCTCTTTCTCTCTCTCAAACAAATAGATAAAATTAAAAAAAAAATAACCATGTACATTCCTCATCGGATTGCTCCATTTCAACATACCTATTGCATATGAAGACATATGTTCTTCCTCTGGGGAGCCAAAGAGAGGTTCTAGGTCAAATGCAACTTGCAAGTCTTCTGAGGGCAATGGTGCAACCCAGGGTCTCGGGCTGAGAAAAGCCTGGTAGAAGAGGGTAAGCTGAGACCAGTAAGGCCCTCAAGCACCACTACCCGGAGATGGCTGTTACTTGTTTCCTTTTCACTTTAAGGAAACCAGGGGCAGTCTCTTCGAACTGTGTATACAACCAAATCAACATAGCCAGTGATAACACAGATAAAACACAATGTCAAAGCTGTTAAAGTGCAAACTCCTCATTTTACAGTTGGAGAAACTAATGTTTCTGGCCAAAAAGTCACTGGCCAAAAGGCACAGTGACTTAATCAGAGTGACCCAGCAAACCAGTGGCAAGGTCAGGTCTACGGACTCTTAGTTTAACGTTCTTTCTAATAATTCTAGGCTGTGAGGGGCGCCTGGGTGGCTCAGATGGTTAGACTTTTGCCTTCGGGTCACAGCTTCTGTCTCCGGGGGGAGTTTGCTTCTCCCTCTCCGTCTGGCTCTCCCCCTCCTCATGCTTGCTCTCTCTCTGTATCTTTCGGTCTCAAGTGAATAAATAAAATCTTAAAAAAAATCCTAGGCTATGATAATGAAGATAAGTTGGCTCTGTAGTTCTCCTAGCACCTAGAATTCCTAGGGTGCCTGGGTGGCTCAGTCGGTAAACACCTAGAATTCCTAGACGGAACAAGCAGGATTTGAGATTAGCTTAGCTTGTAAGTGCTCTTTTACATTTTCTTATCTGCATGATGATGATGATTTTCTTCGCAAACTTTATACTTCATGGGTAAGGAAAGGACCAATGAGGGGACAAATAGATCTTTGTGAAGCACTGAGATCATTCACAAAGCGTCTGGAAGAAAAGTTGGCTGTGGCTAATATATTTAAGGTTTATGACGTGTGCGCTTTTTGGACTGACCTTTCCACCGTATGCTTTGCTTTTGTTTAATTGTTTCTCTGCTTTTGTCTTCTTTTCTGTATCTCCCTATTTTTCTTCTTTCCCATCAGCCTAGGTCTCAGGCCTACCCTTGACAAGTCAATAAAACTGCTAATTATTCATAACATGGGAATAGGAGGACATAGTGACCAAGAAGCATACATATTTCCCCTGCTACGGTCATTTAGCTCTCTATAATCTCAGACTAGTAACTCTTGTCGATTGCGACTCAACTAATCCTTTCCATCTTTCATTTGAGAGTCTATTGTTCCGACATTTGCCTCTTTGTTTTGTTTTGTTTTGTTTTGTTTTTTGCTCTGAACCCTTTTCTCATTGGTTCAGTTGTTGAAGATGCTGCAGTTGCAGCAGTGTACATCTGGAACATTTGGCTGACTTGTTGAACTTCCCCCAGGGACTACTCCAGGGAGAGGAGGGGAGGGGTTGAGAGGCCAGAACAGTTGCCTGCAAATAGAGATGCCAATGTAGCCTGGCCATTCTGTGGACCACCCTTGTAAAAACGCACCTCACCTGGCCCTCAATTTCCCCGTTTGCTCATTGAAGGCAGATATTCTTCACTCTAAACTCCTGTTGCTGAGGCAGAAGAGAAACTCCACAGGCTGTGAATTATCTCATACAGCACTTGCTGCGTTGTAAAGGGACCCACACATATTTGTTGAATTAATTAATCTATCAAGAAATTTCAGGGGACTGTTCGAACCTGCGTGGGGCAACATCACTTCAGTTCCACCTGGCATAGGTGCACTTCTCGGCCACTTAGATTGAGGCCCCAGATTCACTCTAGGAGTGGGGCTGCCTCGGTCCCACCCCAATCTCACTCCCTTTGGCTCCTAGACTCCTGGGTCTCCTTTTTCTTTTGGCGCGCCACAGGATTGCAAACACAGCAGGCATGGTTTCATTCCAAACCAAGAACTGTTTTAATTAGTTTAACGTCTGTTAAACGCTTTGAAGATTGAAAGCAACAGATAAGTACTGGATGATGTTATTAACAACTGCAGTTAATTGCAAACATTTCTATTAATTCTAGTTTCTGCTTCCTTTTCTTTGCTCCACTTTCTTCCCAAGGTTCCCCAATTCTTCTCGGCCTCCCCCTCCGTGCCTTCTCCTGCCCCCGTACAGGCGCTATAGGGTTAAATTGGGGCGGAGTCCAGGGATGAACGACAGCGGCGGTCACCAACTGGGACAAGCGCAAGCGGGAAGAACTGGGTGGGGCAGTCAGGCAGAGGGGGAACCCACACGCCCCCAAGGCCCCGCCCCGTGGCTGGAGGCCCAGGGTGGAATGGCAGGGGGCGGGGCGCCAAGGCTTGGCGGGCCGGTGGTTGGGCGTCCAGGCAGCCGCTTGGGGGATGGGGCGGGGTCGGCCTGGGCCGCCTCCCTCATTCTCCCCGCGGGCCGAGCCGCCCCTCTCTCCCGCTCCTCCTCCTCCCTTTCCCACCCCTCGGAGTGGAGCTGCACATGCGGCAGCTCCCCTGCTCCGTTCCGCCCAGCCTCCGTTGCTCTGGAACGGGTCCCTGCAGCCCCCAGCCGATGGCAGGGCAGTAGCCGCCTGTCAGGGGTCCTGAACGGCTGAGGCAGACGCGGCGGCTCCAGGGCCTCAGAGAGTGGGTGTCTCCGGAGGCCATGGGCTACCCCGAGGTAGAGCGCAGGGAACCTCTGCCCACGGCAGCGCCGCGGGAGCGGGGGAGCCAGGGCTGCGGCTGTCGCGGGGCCCCTGCCCGGGCGGGCGAAGGGAACAGCTGCCGGCTCTTCCTGGGCTTCTTTGGCCTCTCGCTGGCCCTCCACCTGCTGACGTTGTGCTGCTACCTAGAGTTGCGCTCCGAGTTGCGGCGGGAACGGGGAGCCGAGTCCCGCCTTGGCCCCAGCACCCCTGGCACCTCTGGCACCCTGAGCAGCCCCGGTGGCCTCGACCCTGATGGTCCCATCACCCGCCACTTCGGGCAGCCATCACCTCAGCAGCAGCCGCTGGAACCGGGAGAAACCACACTCCCCCCACACTCCCAGGACGGGCACCAGGTGAGTCACCTAGGAGGGGCGGCGGCGGCAGAGGCCCCCTCCCCTTGTGGGCAGGGCGGGGGCCCTCCCCCACAGGGCCCTTGGGGAGGACTCTGCCACCTCCAGCCAAGTTGCAGGGCCGGACCAGGGAGGGGGCAGACGAGCCGGGGAGAGGTTGCCCCGGGGCAGGTTGTCCTGGGTCCTGGTCTAGCTCACCCAGACTCTCTCGGGACCCTTGGACTTGGGAACTCTGGCCGGCGCCCGCCGCCCCCCAGCTACCGGCTGCCTTGGGGAAAGTTGGCGGCTCTCCCAGCCGCGGAGGTGCGGGTGCTGCCCCTCTGGCGGACTAACGGCAGCAGCTTGGCCCTTCTGCTCCTGGTGAGATTCCCTGCCCGCGGTGCTTGTTTTTTCGTGTCCAGAGCTGATGCCAGCACGAGCAGGCTCTCCTTTGGAGTTGGAGCTGTAAACAGCTGTAATAACTGCTCCACAGTTGAAACAACTTTTATCGTATTTTCAGCGCGGGTCCTTGTGCGCTGACCAGAACGTGGGCTTGTTCACACTTACCTGCAATTTGAGACTGATTGTCCTCAGTGTTCTAGTGAGGATCAGCGCCCCTGTGGAATTCTGGTAGAAATATGCCATCTTGCTAGACAACTTCTGAACAGCAATTTAAAAAATCTATGGAAATAAAACTCACCCTTTGCATGCCGGTTCTGACTCTTTTAGGGGGGTAGATGGGGTGAGTGTGAAGTCTATTCACTACTGCTAGTTTGAGAACAGGAATCTACTGATGGAAGAATTACTCAAGAGAAATCTTTCAAGAGCAGTTTTGTTTTGTTTTGCAATCTTTATGGTAGCTTTGGTAGTTGTCTTCCACTTTTTCAGCTCTTCAACTAAATTTGACGCACTTAAAATAAGTATTCCCTTAAGTGCCATATTTTGTCATGTGAAATTTAAGAGAAGCAAGCATCCAAGAATCCTTTTGAGGTGGCTAGAGAATAATAGTGAATTTGTTCCTTTTGGGGAAGAGGGCAAGTTGTGTAAATAAGTTTCTTGAAATGAGGGGCCCAGGATTTCTATATTTACCACCATATCCAGAGTCGTTGTCATAAGCTAAACATTATTTGTGCTCTTTGACCACCCATCCAAAGCTGGCATCTCATTCATGACGAAACTGTAATGTTGGGACTGACATATATTCTACATTGTGCATTGTAAAGTTACCCTGAGCCGAAAAACGTCTTGCTAGCACACTCCAACTTATATAACAGCTTATCAAAGAAGAGAATCAGTAGACATGCTTCTCATACTTGAAACTTTAAACACTGTAGCTAAATGATAATTAACTAGGATTCTGGCTCCCTTTATCTATCCACCCCCGCCCCCACAATGCCCAGTAGAAATACTTAGCCGCTGAACATTGATACTCTGTGAAAAGCTGAAGTAATTGAACTTCCTTAGTCAAATGGTAGCCAAAGCTTTTTGGTATTTAGGATGGACAGACCAATGTTTATAGACTGAGGATTAGCAGGACAGCTGCACTCTAGGGCATCTGTGATGGTGCGTGACTCTTACAGGTCTACAATGGCATTTAGTCGCCTGTTGTTTGCATAGCACTTCGAATAGTTCTGTCTAGGTTTAAATACAGTTCCCTATTTTCTGTCCTTTACTTGTGTTTTAATCTTTTTGAGGAGTAGCAAGAAGCATACTGGCTCTTTACATTTGCTGGCGTCAACTGGAGTCAGGGATTTTTAGAATTGTGAGGGGCCATATGAGTCCATTTTGTTTGATCCCCTTGGATAGCACAGAGGCCCTGGGGGGGGGGAATGATTTGTCCAAGGTCATACAACTATGGTCAACAGTAGAAGGGAAGTTGGTCTCTTGACTCCCAGTTCAAGAAAGTTCGTTTGTTCCCCTATAGCATACAACTCCTGGAGTCTTTCTGGGAAAAGTGGGATGGAGTTCCATAGTACAATTCTTGCAATGTAGAAGGCTCAGATTTGCATCAGTTTCTTTTACTCCACCTGTATTTTGGCCAGACTAAGTTTAACATGTATTCCTTACTCTTCCTGAACATTACTTTCGGGAGAATTGAAATATACTTTAAAGGAATTTTAGCCCAGATTCAAATTATTTTCTCTTGAGAATATTAGTTTTAGTACTCTCCCCCCCACCAAAAAAAGGGAAAAGTTGGCTATTAGAGTTAAATTGATACTGCTACATCTTGGGTAAAATTTCTAGTGCCCTGGTGCACCCTCTGCTGGCTTTGCAGGGACATTTAATTGCAGTATCTGCTGACAGTCAAGATTCTAAGTTGTGCTGACAGATTCTGATTCATAAACAAGGAAGTAAACAGCCTTGTGGGATTTGGCCACGTAGGTCACATTTTTATATTTTAGTTTTTCAACACAAACAGCTGCTCTTACAGCAACTCTTAGATGGAGTGGAAGAAAGATAAAAATATACACCCTTCAATGGGCAGAACATTCAGGTTTCTCACCAGTTTATTTGCAAGGAGTAAAGGCAAACTGATGAGACTAAATTGCAGAAAGTTCCCATGAGACTAAGTAGGCAAAGCAGAGGCACTTTATTGTATAAGGTCATACAAACCTACCCATGTTTATGAGATGATGGGCTCAGTTATGACTCAAGAAAGGGATCTAGAGATCACTGAAGAGGTTCCTTTGTATCTCTCAATTTAAAAACATTTAAAACAAGATACAGAAGGAAATTAGGGCAGTCAGGATACATAGCAGAAAGATCAGCAAAGTTCTCCGGGGGGATTGTTAGAAAAGCCTCCCCAGTGGGGACACTGCTAATGATAAAAAGTGAGAGGGTCACCTCAGACCTTTTGGCATCATAACTGTCTCCTTCAGCTGGAGTAGCTGAGGAGTACCTGTACATTTATCCGGCTACTCACTGAAGATGATCTGAAGAGCTAGGTACATCTCACCAACTTCTGAGTCAGACAGTACACAATATGATTGTTACCGTAAAAAAATAAAAAATCACTGTTGATCATTCTGTGAAGAAGTTGGCCCAGTTGTGATTATGGTCCTCAAAGCCAATAATATGGTAGACATCAGCAGGAAGGATGTTGAAAATAATGACAAAACAAAACCCTTATCTTTTCCACATAAAAGACCAAAAGTGGATTTGCATCCGTAATCATGTAGGAAATTCTGGTGACTGCTTCTCAAGAAAAACCTAACAGCTGATAAAAGTCCCTAGAAATCCAGTTAAATTGATCAAAGGGATAGAGGGATTTTCTAGTTTTTTTTTTTTCCCCAGTCAGGAAAGAGAGAGAGGTTGAGGGAGGGATATGATCAAAGTCTACAAAACCATGAGAGAGATGAATAAGGTTAATATATTGGTATAATTTAACAATTTAGCTCAATAAATAGCCTGCTATCAGCCAGACATGGAAGAGAGGCAAGTAAAAGTAGTATCTCATTCAAATGATTGCCCTAAGAGATAATCTAAACTGGAACTCTAAGATTTAGGAAGTGTTTAGAAAAATACATATGAGTAGATTAATGAGGATTTATTTAGGACTATTGGGGATATTTGGAAAATGTTCCTAATTGAGATGATGACATAGAAATTATCTTTCCACAAAACATCTCTTGTTTTAACTAGATAGAACATTAGTGTATACAGATTTTACATTACTTATTGAGGCTGGTTAATCAAGAAAATGACTAAGAGTCATTAAATCCAAGAATTTTTTTAGTGGAATGGGATCCAGATAAAATAACTTTCTATAGGTTTTTTTTTTTTCTATAGGTTTAACTCTAGAGTTTTCAGTGTGACATTCAAGGTTTTTGATCAACTGGCTCCATTATACCTCTCCCATTTTCTCTCTCACTAATTCTATTCCTGCAACCCACCCACCATATCCTGTCTTGGGATCATTCTCTAGTTGTTATGGCTGTTTTTGGTTTAGTAACTCTTATGTCTTTATATAGAACTCTTCAGAAATCTGCCTCCTTTTTTTTTTTTTTTGTCTTTTTCCACAGTACCTGACTCAATGCTAGTTATAGTTAAGGTACTTTAATACTTGTTGAGTTAAATATTATTTTGGGCCTTTGGAGATCATCATGTGAAACAAAGACATTTTCTCTGTATGTAACAAGCCTGCTTTCCTCAGGTCTTGCTAAACCTGTATCAGCTTTGCTTAGGTGAGTCAAATTGTTCTACTAGCAATGTTTCATTGGTTTCTAGAATTATTAGAAAGTGAAATGGAGAGGAGCCCTAACCACATTACCTTTAAAGTGGTGCAAAAAGCTTTCTGTAATACGTCATTTGATGTTTTATTTTATTTGTTTTTAAGTCTCATCTCTTTCTTAGATTTTGTGAAAAAATAATCCATAATCTATCTATAAATACCTTATAGGGAAGAACTCTTTATAATAGAGAGCTTCTGAAGCCATTTAATCCCAAAGAACTTTACCAAGAAAACCATTTGCCTTGACTATTAGGGTGGCCCTCATAGAAGACCAACTTTATCTATTGTACTTTGCTGTTTTATTTTTATTTCCCCCATTTTTCTGTTGAGGTATTGCATACATACAGAAAAGGTAACAGATCATACTTGTACAATTTGATGAATTATTACACAGTCAACACACTGATGTTACCAGAACCCAGGTCAAGAAATAGAACTAGCATTTCACAACCCCCACATTATGCTCCATTCCTATCACTGTACCTTCCCCCAACAAAGTTAATGACTTTCTCGACTTCTAACATCATAGATTAATTTTACCTATTTTGAACTTGATGTAAAGCAAATCAAACAATATATATTTTGTAGGGAGTCTTTTTTTCCTCAACACTATGTGATAGCCATCATGTTGCACAAAACTATAGTTTTTTATTTGTATTTTTGTATATTATTTCCTTGTTTGAATATACTACAGCTTATTCATTTTACTGATAATATTTGGATTGTTTCTGTTTGGGTTATTATAAATAATGATATGACTATTATCATATGTATCTTTTGCTTATATGTACTT